ATAACAGCGTAAAAGAAAAAGAAAAAGAAAGAAAATAATTTCACAATCCAAATATTCTTTTTTTAATAGATCTTGAAAATAGTTTTAAATTGACAATATTTTTTTGTTGGTGGTCTCAAGAGAATAATACCTTATAATCCACTAATAATTACAGAAATATTTTTCTAGATTGCTGCAAGAAAATTTTGATTTCAGATTTTAAAATTTTATAATGTGACCTGAGAGTTTTTGTTGCTAGACTAATTTCTTAATTAAATTCATTTTTTTTTTAATTTTAATCAAATTAACAAACACAATTGTTTAAAATAATAAATATATATATATATAAATGTCATGCAAAAAGATGGAGGATTGCGTTTTTGTTAGTTCTCATTTACGTGAGTGAAAAGAAAGCCTAAAAGTTAATATGCAAAGAGGAGGTTTTTCACGGCACAAAACAGAAGAGTGAGAAAGAGAGCTGAAGAGAGAGAAAGCTCTGCGCAAACTGTCACAAGCCCACCACGTCTTACAGCTTGGCACATGTTCCATGCCCAGTTTAAGCGGCACAAGCACCACCTAAACACCTCCTCTCTCTCTCTCTCTCACACACACACACACACACACACACTTCACATCTTCAGCTTCACCTTCTCTCTCTAACCGTTTAAACAGTGCGAGTCTCATCTACAACTTCAGTTTCTCTCTCTAACCGTTGCTGTGTCTCTATATATAGACATTTACGTGTATACATATTTATAAAGCTCATTCTCGTCAACGAAGATAAGGAGTTAACAATGGAATCGCCAGAATCTCGTTACGCTTCATCTCCTGAGGCTCCAGCGAAGCAGTATTCTCCGCTTGATTCGCCTTCTGCAGGTACGACTCTCTTTCTCTCTCTAGATTTCTCTCTCATCAAGATCTGTGTGGTCTTGGATCTGTTTTCTCGCTCCATTGCTTGCCTATGCTTGAATTTGTCTAAAATGCGCGTTGCTTGCTCATCATTTCCAAGTCGTCTCCGTTCTTCGCGGTGAATCGCCCAATTCCCCTAATTTTTTTAGGGCTATGCGCTAGCTTCTGTTGAGAGAGCTTCTATTGACCTCTGAACCCGATTTACTGTAACTGCCGCGCAAGCGGATAAAGCGAAGCCATAGACATACATTCTTTTAACCCACTCATAGGGCTTGACCTTTGCCTTTTCTTTTTAGTGAGTGGCTGTGATTTCACTTCCTTCGTTGCCATTGCCATGCCGCCTAAAGCAGCTATTGCAAGGCGGAGCGGGGCTTCACCGCCCGCTTATTCGTGTATGTTTTTATTTATTTTTTGTACCTACCTATTTATAGTTTTCCAAATTCAATGTATGCTAGTGCAGTGTGAGAATAACAATGTGAGTTTCTTCAAAATTCAGGGCTGTTGGTGTTATTTAATTTTTTTTTGTGTCTGAATTGAAACCCTAGAAAGGGTCAAGTTTGTTGCAATTTGTTGTAGTTGATTAAATTTAACGCGAATTGTTCATTGATTGATGAAATGAAGTTGCTCAAGTGAATTTGTTCAATTTTTCTTTTGATGTTTTGATGGGATTGATATTGAGAACTTGATATATCTCTAAAATTGACATTTGAGCTGAACAGAATCAGGTTAGTGTCAATCCGATCCACCTTCCCCAACACTTTTGATTACAGGGAGAATGGTGTTCTCTAGGCTTTTACAGCTGGCAATAAATAACCTTCAGATCTGATGCCCCTGTGGATTTGTTATTATATTATTTTATTTTTTCTTGTATATTCGGATTGCACTTGATAATAAAGTGCTTTTAGCTATTTATGTAATGCTCCTTGTTTAGTAACTTCAATAAATTTTGCCTGATAAAAATTTGTCATGTAGTACCCTTTTTTTCCATGGTAACTTTGTCATGTAGTACTTTGCTGCTGTGAGTTGTTGATTTTCATTGTTTATGAAATGATGTTTTAATGGAGGCAAAGTGCTCTAAACAAAACTCTTACAGAGATGACCATGGTGTTAGGTACTTAGGTCTCACTGCAGGGTAAGTTCGTGCTGCATCAGGGTTGTTAAGAATTATCCCTCATCAAATTCTTTGGTGACAAACTGACAATAAACGTGTTAGCATGGTTGGGTCTATTCACTTCATTACCCTTGTGACAGTGCATTTATGGAAGAGTGTTATATTACTAACAATACCCTCCTATTTTATGGCCATCGTCAGCCTTGATAATTATACATACACATTGCGTAACTGTGATTGATACGATGGGTTGAATTTCTCTTTAATAGTTTGATGCTACTTTAATCAAATACTTTTATGAAATTAAACATGCATGTGCTAACATGTATATGAATGCAATATTACTACATTTGTTCTTTTTGCTTATTGTTATGTTTTTTTCTTTCATGATTGCCATTATCAGATTATACGGAGAAGAACACATACCTTAGGTTCCTTGTATCAAATGCTGGAGCTGGATCGGTTATAGGAAAACGTGGCTCAGCAGTCGCTGATTTTCAGACTCAGTCTGGAGCACGAATTCAGCTGTCAAGCAGTCATGAATTTTTTCCAGGGACATCTGATAGGATTGTTATGGTGTCTGGAGCAGTTGATGATATACTCAAGGCGGTGGAACTAATTCTTGCTAAGTTACTTAATGAGGTAAACTAAATGGCAAGAAATTATTGGGTACCCCAGGGGTACCGACAATGTAGTACCTTCGGCCAATGATGAATTAATACTTCCTATCATCAAGGGAAATAATGAGTGTCCATTGGCCAGGGTACTAAAAAATCTGTAACCCCAGGATAGCAAATAATTTCTCCTAAATGACATAGTTCTTAGTATGATTCTGTAGACACATTTGAAAACAAATTTCCTTTTGTTGGTCAGTTCTATGGTGAAGAAGGTGCAGAAGTTGATCCAAGAACAAAAGTTAGACTAATTGCACCAAACGGTTCTTGTGGTGGAATAATTGGGAAGAGAGGAGCCACCATAAAGTATGAATATTACTCCCTGTTTATTTTTTCTTTTAATGTATTTTCTTCCTGCTATATTTTCTATTTTCCTGTTCGAAGGAGTAGCTGTCACCCTCAATATTATTATCTACGAAACTTTAAAGCGTATGTGCGTTTTTCTGTCTTGTATTTGTTCCATTTTTCATTATAAATATGCAAAGATTTTTCTTATTTGTTTCAAATTTTCTTTTAATGTAATTATTCAAATCTCTTATCCACTTAAGACTGTGTACTTAGTACAGCACTTGACTGTTCAACAGTGCTGATCCTTGAGATTATATAGTAGATGTTTATATTTCTTTTATGCAGTTTGTGTTCTTTTTCATTTGGTTGAAAAAATTTGTACTGAAATTTGATAGAGTAGGCTATTTTGAACAATTGATGGAGTGGTAGGGTATGCAAGCTGGTAGCATGAAAAAAGTAATTGGGCAACCAGTGTAAACCAGTGTAACAAGTGTTATTGGTTTTTAACATGTCATTGTGATCTTGGGAGTTAGGTGAATAGGAACAACTTGGATGTTGATGACCGGGAGAATGAAGAAAATATTCTGGTAGTGGCACACATAAAATAATATCTGAAGATGATAATGAGCAAGATTCTTTGTCACTAAGAAACCCAATTCCCAACCTACACTTTCACTTAAAGGTAGAGGTTATATATAATTAATTAATTAAAAGATATGATTCAAGGTCAGATTCTGCATATCTGGCTAATCTGGTTTTCCATAGAAACAGTGATGTAGGTTTTGTGTAAGGAGTCTAGATCATGTTATCTAAAGATGTTTATTAGAGCAGAGATTGACAGAGTGAGGATCTGGAATTGGATTCAATCATTTGAAGGTGTTCTTAAACAATTAAATGATAAGGATACTAGATGACTTCTTGTACCTTTTCCTTCTCTTATCATTTGCAGAAATAAAGTTAGTATCTTAAATTTCATTTGGCCTTTGGAACCTGTGAGCTGTTATAGGCTTAGTTGACTTTGGTATGTAAAAGTTACTATATAAGAGCTATGCATTGAAGCACATATTGTGGTTAAAATTTGACACTATATAGAGGTGTTTGGGACCATGATTCTAGTGGTGGAGTTATTAAGCTGGTCATTCGGGGGCCAAGTGTAACAGAGTGCTTTATATCTTCCACATTTCTTAGTTTAAAAAAAAAGAGTAGAGTCATACAAAATTATCATGACTGCTGTTTTGGTTAAACCATCACTTATATAAAAGGCCATTATTTGGTACAATGGTAAGTTTAAAGTATCAAGCAGGCAAGCATGGATACCACTTTGTGAAATAATGGCATAGTTTAGGTGTATACCTAGTCTACCCCTCCTAGAAACTTGCATTGGCCAGACTAGAACAGGGTAACATCGTTTTAATGGTTGTTTGGATAATCTTAACAAATCCATTTCTTATGATTATTGTTTGCTACATGATGTACTTTTCTGGATTCTATTGATCTTGTGACAGCGAGCCAGCTTATATTAAGCTCAAGATTATAAACGGTGGTTATAAATGGAGGTGTAATCAATCTGTATAGATTTTTAAAGAGAAACATTGATGGTCGTGTGACCAACTCCATAAGAAATGTCAAAGATCTTATCATGACTGCTGTTTTGGGTTAAGCCATCACTAAACAAAAGGACATTATTTGGTACAATGGTAAGCTGTAAGTATCAATCATGTAAATGCGGATACCACTTTGTGAAATAATGGCATAGTTTAGGTGTATACCTAGTCTACCCCTCCTAGCAATTTGCATTGGCAAGACTAGCACAGGGTAATGTCATTTTAAGGGTTGTTTGGATAACCTTAACAATAATGGACTTATCCAAACAACCCTTAAAATTGGATCCTTTTTTATTGGACACCGAGGGCAGTAAGCTTCACATCCACCATCACATCCCCCTTGTTTACTGGAACTAAGAGATGTAGTTAATCTACACTCAATCATCATACTAACACTGATTAGACTGCAGCATGCAATGCCATGTTCTATGATATATATCACTAAGGTTAGTGATAATGGTCTGGAACCACCCTCAGATATCAATGGAGCTTGCACCTGTAATCTTTAGAGCCCCATCCTTGCTAATGATTGGACCCAATTGAGAAAAAATGAAAAAACCTTTTGTTCTAAAGGCGAGGTTTGCTGCACTTAGTGGTAGACGTAGTTTCAAACTCTTGATGTACGTATGTAGTTTCTTTCTTAATGCCAATTGTTGAAATGATAAATAGATTAGGATTTTAGTTTGAAGTCAAATTAGGACCTTCCAGGGTGCTTGACTAGCATTGAAGTTTTAATCAACTTCCCTCTCTCTTCTTTTGATTGTTCAGTTTTTAATAATTAATGTCGGTAAGACGGGGGCTAGATTTTTCCAGGTTTTTTTTTTTAAGTTCAATTTTGGTATTCTCCAGTTTGTGATGTGTATTAGTGTTAACCATATATGACCTCTTGTTTTATGGTCCTATCCTAGTTTGGCAATCTTAAGAGTCTTGTGTGTTTTAAATAGTTGCATGTCAATGGTTCCCTTGGCTTCCAAGCTCACTTATCAGCCTAATTGTATCTTTAGGCCTCTGTAAAAGTAATCTTCAAGAAGTGTAGACACCCATTTTCTTCCATTTTCCCTTGCCTATTTATTTATTTTTCTCCCCTGTTTTAAATAATTGGTTGATCTGCATTTTGTTACAGTTGCCCTCAACCATTTTTGCAGACATTTGTATCATAGTAATTTGTTGTTGACATAGAGTAGACTTGTACTGTTGTTTGACTCAGAGTAATGTTGTTTTCCTATTTTCTGTTGTTTTACGGGTTTTGCATGGGGCCATGTTCCCTTCTTTTTAGTGTGGCTTTTCTGTATACTGTTTAATATACTATTCTCATTAATGAAGAAACAAAAGACAATCAGACAGTTCACTGTTTTATGGTACCATTCCCAACTGTGCAGGATGTAAATTATTAATGCTGGATGTATAAAATATTTAGCATCTTTTGATGATTCTGTTTCTAGTTCAATGATCAAATAATTATTTTTACGATATCGGTATTCACAACTGCTGTATTTGTGTATCGTCTGAGCAGGTCTTTTATTGAAGATTCCCAAGCTGGTATTAAGATATCCACTCAGGATAATAATTATATTGGATTGAATGATAGGCTAATAATACTGACTGGTACCTTAGACGAGCTGATGCGGGCTACTGAATTGATTCTGTCGAAGTTAGCAGAGGATCCTTATTACGTACAGTCCTTCAGTGTCCCATTTACATATGCAGGTATGTTTTCTTCAATTAATTTACTCATTCTAATCATGCTTCTATTTTAGTACCAGTTGCTAATTTCGTATTCACTGGATAAATTATGCGTCTTTTCAATTGTATTGAACATCAGTTTTTTCTAACAAAATCTCAACTAATGATTGTGCCCTTAGCTATCTATCTATCTTGGCAAGAATTACTAGTTAGTATTTGATTACTTCAATGGCCATGTTAAGCAGGTCTTTGAATATTTCACTTGTAATTCTGTTGAAGCAAAAAAATTGCTCTTGCTGTTCTACTTCTCTTTATTTTGCTTTTTGTTTCATCTATGCAATCATCTTTTGATTTACTGCATATTAGGTTCATATTTGTCATTTCCGGTTTAACCATTGGCTGTCAATTGGCTTAAGTTGTGACTACAAAATTCTGAAGTTCTTTCCAACAAGAGAAACCAACTGATTTGTATCATCTGGAGACCATACTATTAGCTCTATCTAGTATTGATAAAAGAATATTCTTCCTAACTTTGCTATAGTTTCTGGAACCATGTTGTTTGCAAGAGCAAAGAAGGTAGGATTTCAGTTTCATGGTAACGTTTGATTATTCTTTCCTGATCAGGTGCTGGAATCTCCAAACCCAGGTGGAAGGAGGGTGGACAAGAGAGAAAAACAGCGCTTGAAGTAGTATAAACTAAAAAAAAAAAAATTACTCTAGGATTGATTTTAATTCAGTTCTGGATGCAGTGAAGTATGTAGGTAGGTTTAGGAAAAAAAAATAAAAAATGTATGTAGGTTCTCAACTAGAAAACTTCAAATTTTATCATCATAACCAATCCCCTTCAATTGGGCCAAGCTGAAATGGGAGGCCTGGGTTGATGCAAATAATTTGATATGCTCCAAGGAAGTGGTTTGAGAAAAGATCAGCAAGGTGGGTCAAACAGACAAGAAATTCCAAGGAAACCCACTCTCATGCGAATGGATAATCAATATCAAACTTGGTCATGTAAAAGGAGAGTGATAATGATGTATAGAACACTAATACTGTGACCAAAAAAAAAAAGAGCATAAGGAAGGATCAGTCGCCGGAGAGCATATGAAAGCAAAGCAAACTCTGTAGGTTACAGTTGGGTTTTGAAAATAATCTAGTACTTTATATTTCTTCGATGGTTAAGGGTTAAGGGTTAAGGGCCATGCTCTCACTGTAAGGTTATTCATTACTGTTTACCTGCCTTTTGTTTTGTTAAAAATATGTTATTAATAGAATGTTGGATATCATTTTCTTTCCAGTTTAAAAATATTTTTCTAGGTTTTTGTTTCAAAGCATATGACATCTAATGTGTTAAGCTGTTTCTTAATTTTAATTTTTAATATTTTATTCTCTATAGTTTAAGACTTCTTTTACAGAATAAAATTATTATTTCTCATGGTTCAAGGCTTTCACCTTGCCTCACGGGACAAAAAGCGAATCTGCCTTTCGTCTTCTACAAGAATAACACAAGTGATGAGTCAGATGAGACAAAAAAATTATTATTAGATTCTGTTAGAATTCAAAGGGGCCTTACAACTCGTTATGTTGTCAAAAGAGATTCCCGTTTTTAGTTTCCTTCTCCAACATATTCTCCTCTTGGTTCTCTAGACTGTTCAATGATGATGGTATTGGTCTAATGAAGGGAGAACCATCTCATGTGGAACTCTAATATGGGATTGCCCATCCTGTGGAATCTTGATTTTTAATTTCTTTAAACAAATACGTTCCATATATTTTTATGCTTGTATAGTTGTATCCTGTATCTCATTTTCTTTTCTTTTTTTCTTTTTCTTTCTGTAAGTAATTCCAAAGGGAATTGTATAATTTATTTTGGAAAATGGTAAATGCCTAAATCCCCTTAAAGAGATTCTTCCTTCGCAGAAACCAGGCATCTTGAATTTAGTTAAACTGCAGGTTCATGAAAAGTTTATTATCAACATCCCACATGTCCTATGCTTTATATTAGTGTTTAACAAATAAATGGGGAAACTTATAATGAGGTTGGTCATCAGTTCTGTTTTCTAGCATTGCTTATTGATAACAGTACTCAAGAAGTGTTGATTTATATTGCATACTTATCTGTGCAGTCACATATTATATTATATCACGATTATTATGGTGAAAATTTGATGTCTAATTAGTTTCCTTCAATTTGAACGCTAGGTGTTATGTTTGCTGGTTTTCCCGGTATTCCATATCCATATATGCGTCCTCCTTCTGTTGGACCAGCTGGGTACAACGCAATGAATTTTGGACCCAGTGGACCTGGAAGAAAGTTTCAGAATAGCAAGGTTCGTTTCCTTATGATAGCTTGTTGTATTCAGAATACTTAATTTTCTATTCAGATTTGTCCATTATCATTTTAATTTGACATAAAAGATAGCCTTCTTGAAATTGTTTATTGGTGTGCCAAGAGATGGGCTTCATGCTTAGAGGCATTGGTCGTCGTTAATTCATCTTCAAGTGTTTCCACACTGAAAACCACTAGCTCTATAGCTCCTTGTTTTCCAAGTCTTATATTTCCACTTGGTTCACTGGAACCAGAATTTGGAAAGTCGCACAATGCAACAACATGTGCTAAATGTTTCACCTGAATAATGTGGAAATGAATTTTTTTTTTTCCCCCAGAAGGTAATAATGTTGAAATTGTTGCTGGTTCTTACATGTGTTGATCCGTAATTTTTTGGATTATCGGTTCTAGATTAATCTTAGTCCAAGTTGAAATTTCAGCATACCATTCTTTGATATCGGATTATGAGCAATTAACAGTTATGTTTTAGAATATTGGCCACTTGGTCCATGCATTAGGCTAATCTATTTCATATCTTAATCTATATTTCTTTTGTATATATACTTCTATGGGACTGTCCTTGGACCACGATGGGCAGTGTCGTGGAAAGTTAGAGCAAAAAAGTTAAAAGCAATGAATTACTTTTCATCTAGTTTTGTATGTGTACACATGCTTTAATAAAATGCTGGATATCTATGGGCTCTAATTTATTTAGAACATTTCCTTGTGTTTTGTTTGGACTAGGATTTCACGGTCACTCTATGTTGGACGCAATTATAGGTTTTTTGCTCAATTTTTTGGAGTACAATCTCAGGCGTTGCTGTTTCATCCTAGCTATAGTGATCAAACTTAAATTGTTATCAATTATCTGTATTAAAACTGGATGAAAAGAAATGTTTGGATAGACCAGTCCTAAAGGTTCAAATGTACCTTTCCTGTAAAAAATTATGTAGTAGTGTGGTCATACAGATTGGAAGTTTTCTTATCACTACTACTATATATTGTCCAACATTCACCTATTCTAGTGCTTTGCAGGAAGATAAGAGCAACTCGGTGACTATGGGTGTTCCAGATGAGCGTATCGGGGTTGTCGTTGGCCGTGGTGGAAGGAGTCTTATGGAAATAAGTCAGGTGCGTAAACAAGTTTTGTTTTGGCTTCTTTTTTGGCACAAGCTCTGACTATTCACTTCATCTTTTGCAGTATAGTGGGGCTAGGATAAAAATATCAGACAGAGGCGATTTTGTGTCTGGAACAACAGATAGGTATATAATCTTTTCGAGGCATCTATCTGGTTTTGGTGGGATGAGTTAATGGGAAAATAAAAGCTCCAACACTTTTTGATTCTCTTGCCCCTTGTTTGGCAGGAAAGTGACTATCACTGGGTCACAGAAAGCAATCCGGGTAGCTGAGACCCTCATAGCCCACAAAGTAGAATTACCCAGAGATCAATCCGGATAGCTGAGGCCGTCATAGCCCACAAGGTAGAATTTAAATTCTGAGAGGTGATGGAGTTGGTTATAACGTCACCTTATTCATTCTTATTGAGAAATTTGTCAGTGGACTTTCTTGCAATTTCTATACGCATTGGGTGAATTATGGAACCGTGACCATTGAAATGTCTAAATCTGCTGTGGTGGGTAGCAAGAACCCAAAAATTTTCATTGAAGGAGATTCGTGTTGACTTCTCAGTTTACTGGAAATGTTTGAGAGAACAAATTTGTTGGAAGAGGCCATTGTAGCTGTTTTTATTAACCAAATTTAACCATCCACTTCACAAACAGTTGTAAATTTCATTTAGCAGATGGTATGCCTCAGATATGTTGGTAGGTTGATTAAATATTTGGCTTGACTTTTTCTTTTTTTCTTTTTGAAGAATCCTTTTATCAGTAAAATGTTATTTCTTGTTTTGGAACTCCAGTTATCCTATTAATTTGACTTGATAGCATTCAGCTTCATTATATCATTTCATTACGGTTCTTGATTAAGTATGAGTCGTATGACTCGGATCAAATATAATGTACGGGAATTTTCTTAGGAATGGAGGGTAAGTGCATGGTTCCCTCAGTTCTGTTTCAGTTGGATTAAGGCGGTGAACCAGACCTCTGGTAAGCCAGGAAACATTTTTTTTTTTTTTTTTTTCCCGGGGGACTGTGACGTTGGTGGTGTTGGGATTTATACATGTCCTGGCATAACAAATTCCTATCTGGATTATAGTGAGATATGTTCTTAACGTTTCTAAAATATTTATGCTTTATATAATTGGTGAATTTAATGTATTATGTTTCGATTCATTATAGAATTGATAGTGTCCATTTGATTACAAGATATATTTATATATGTATGTGATGGCGATTAATAAATGAATATAAATAGTAATTATAAATTGTTCATAGTCGGTAATTATAGATGGATTCATAATTAATTAAGACTTAAACTGGATCCACGTTAGGTTGAGATATATTGCGAGAGCCGTCGTATGCAATTGCTTCCTATCACCGTCATGGCATTTGACTCTTAAGCATGAGAAAAGTATAGACTCTTTTATTAATTAATAATTACTTTGATTTGTTCGGCGGATTCTTTGGGATCCTTAGACCGACACTTTTGGTAGTTATGTAATTAATAGTTAGAGGGTTATATTTTCAATATTTGCATAATTGCTACTTGTATTTATTTTGTATTGATTATGGTTGATCACAAAGTAAATTCGAAGGCCTTCGTATGTTTTTAGACAAAATAATTTATTATATATTTATTTATTTAAATTATTATTTTTTGTCAAACAAATGTTTTATTGTAATCGAATCAGAAATAATCAATGGTACCAAAATAAATATATTAATTAAGTAGTCGGATTGATGGCTTTATTTATCTGACAACTAATTATGCATAGAGGGGTCAAAGTGCAATATTGACTTAGAGGTTATTTATTACTTAATTGGAGTTCAATTAATTTCTTTTAGTTGAGTACAAATTAATTTATGAATTAATTGAATTAGGTTTATGGTCCAGGCCAATTATTAATTCATTATAGCCAATAAAATAATAAGCCCAAAGAATTCTCACTCATAACCCAACTTGATATTGAAATCCTATTAGATTTGAGACATGTGAATTAGAGATTGAGAATGATTTGTTATTTCCTTTTCTTTATCTTTATGTTGCATATAAATATACATAGTCTATATATATTTTAGGGGTGATTTTTAGTAGAAGGAAAAAGGAATATATTTTATCTCTTTAGAAAATTAGGATTAGTGTTCTCATCTAATGGAGGCTCCCACAAGCCTATTTTTCCAAGGTCATTCATAGAGGTATATGAGTGATTCCTAAAGGCAAAATAATTACCAAGAAGATGGAGATCTAAGGAAAAGGCATCTTGCTAAGAGATCTACAATAAGTGAGAACATTCACTTTAGAGGAAAGTTTTAAAGGTTTACTCCGACCTTTGATGTAAGTATTCAATCTGTTAATTGAATGGTACATCATATTTTATTTTTGCATAAAACTTGTCTCTATGTGATGAATCAAGATCTATGAATCAAAATCCCTCGTAAAGTTTTTAAAACTAGTACGTTTCCCAACAGTGGTATCAGAGCATGGGTTGATTCATTACTAGAGATCATGATTTTATGAAAATCATCATTCATGGATCCAAAATTATATTCATATATATATTTATTGATGTATGATTTAATATGTTGATATATATTGATACATGATGATGTATGAATAATTGTGAATGAATGATGATGTATGGTTGGGCCATGGATGAAGTTTATAGGTTAAATTAATATAATTTTATCTTTGGATGAATGTAATTAAGGCTTTGATTTAGCCGTTTGAAAGTTCAATGATGTAATTTAATTTTTTCCATTGTATTTCAAATTGTAAATTTATTTAAAGCCATCTAATATTCATCAAATGGTGCTATGAAGCTTCAAGAAGGTCCAAGAGGGTTAAATTAGGCTTCAGGAATTTTCTGGGATTTTTTAGAAATTTTTTGAAATTTTTCTAGAATTTTTTAAGGCTTAATTTAATTTCTGGAATTTTTTATTTAATTTCTGGAATTATTTCGGCGATTTTTCGGCGACTGGAGTACCGTCAGCGGCAAGTGCAGTCACCAGAGTAAGGCTGCTGATCCGGTGCAATGAGGTGCACCAAGATTCCATGCAACAGGATCTAGAGCCAATGGATCAGCATTAATAAGGAGTAAAAGATCCCATGCGGCGCACAAAGGTGCACCTGGCGCGTGTTCCACAGGCGCCAAGAGGTGAACAAATGCTGGCGCATGGATCTCACGCGCCAGCCAAGGAAATTTGTCCCCACGTGCGTGGTGGCACGTAGGGGCGCGTGTCTTGCACTGCTGCATGCCCCGGGCGCGTGCGAGCGCGTGTGGGGCCTTCCGGGCACGTTCCGAAAGCTGTTTTGCTTCTCCAGACGCGTACCAACTTCCTACAGGTGTTTACAAGCTGTTGGAGGACGTCCGTACAATACTTAGAGCAATTAAATGTTAAAAGCTGAATCCATTGGCCATTTAAATTGCTTCTGTCTGTTATTTATTTATTTATCTGATGCATGGAATAATTAATTGTTTATTATTATTATTCATGCATTGGATCCATGATATTTATTTAAATGACTTGATTTATATTAATTAAATTATGAAAATTAATTAGATTTGATTACTAATTAATTTGAGGGTACTTATTGGGAAACGAAAAATTATTTTTGTAAATTATTTTTTAAGTTTGCCTTAAGTTAAATATTAGTGAATCATTTAAAGTCCAAATATTTTCTAAATTTAATTGGATTAAAATCAAGACGTTTTGTATGCATCATATCATGTATTTGAATAAAATGAAAACCCTAATTATGAACGATTAAAATTTGAGTGGGAGCGGTGATTTTTATACATTACCCCATGGCCTTCGTTATTAAAACCATTATAATTAAATTTTCAAAAATAAGGCCCCACGCATAATTTGAAGAGTCTTAATATTACAAGAATGGTTGTCTCATGAAAATTAAAATATTAAATGTTCATTGTAATTAGATCTTTAAAAATAAGGCCCTACGCATGATTTAAAGAGTCTAGATTATAATGACAAGATATTTAATGTTTTATTTTTCGTTAGAGCATTAATAATGTTATACACTCAATCTAAAATCAATAGTGTTAGCTCCCCAACGGAGTGGTTTACACTAGGTGATTTTAGAAAGGCTAAACATAATCGGGAATCATTTCATATAGATAGATAAGGCATTGTCTTAAGAGATATGGAGATGATGGGATTTGCTCGCCAATAGTAATAATGAACTTCGCCAATCGAATAAGTTATTGGCGTATTGGCTATCTGATTTTTCATGCAGTGGTTAAGGGACCCACATATTATTATGGAAGTGCTCACCTAATAGCAAATGAATCTTAACAATGGTAATAATGAACTCCTCCAACATGATAAGTTATTGACGTATTGATTGTGTGATTTATTATGCTATGGAGTTGAGGGACCCGCATTAATTAAAAGGGATTGTGTACCAATAATGATAATGATCTTTTATTCTATTGAGATTTATTATATTATATGTTTAACAAACTCATTTTAATTTTAAATATGCATGATAGTATTAATAATTCACCTTGCATATTGTATGAATGCATTTATATTCAGATTAATTATGTCTAATCCATTTTATCTGCTTGCTAACATATTCAATGTATGTAAACCTCATTTATAATAACTGGAAAAGGAATTTAGATATTTTATTCATAACGTAGTGGTACAAAATGTATTTATTACTCCTAACCCTAATCCTTTTTACTTTAAGATACCCAAGAGAACATTAATGCTTTTAATAAATGAAATAAGGCAAACGATATGACTTGGTGCAATATTTTAGAGTTTATCTCGAATACGCTCCCAAGCTAACATTTACATTATTTTATTTTCTTCAAGCATCATGTTAAATGTCAATAACATGTTTTGGTGAGATTAGATAGAAAGTATGCCAAAGTACTATATCAAACTTGAATACCATCAAGATAGGCTAAGGAACTCCAGTATGAGATCAAATTTTGGAAAATGATTGTTTATTATTTAAAAATTAGCTGGAGATCAATAGGGCTGACTTGGGTGGTAAGTTTCAAATTGACATAATTATTGCTTTGTTACCAAACTGGTTCGGCTCTTTCAGAGTAAACTAAATAAAGAATCAGTTTGAGTTCACACTCGCTGATATTCTTATAGAATTGGTAACAGATGAAGAGATAATCAAAAGTATGGATGTTCCTATCTATCTAACCTAGTCTATACCATCTTTTTTTAGGCCCAAGTGGAAGAGCAAAGTAAAGAAGAAGGATGATAATAGGATTAGGCTAGCACAAAACATGGGTATTCAAAAAGGTTAAAGGGAATAAGGCAGTGTATGTTGTGGGCAAAGAAAACTGTTTCTTTTGTCGCTAACTAAGACACTAAAGGACGAACTGTCTAAGCAATGACGTGACATATGAAAATATATATTTACTCATTGAGCCATGTTATGTGGTTGCATCTATTAATTCCTGATAGATAGATTCTGGAGCCACTAAACATGTTTGCAATTCATTGTAAGGATTTCAGGAATCTAGAAGCTTTGATGATATGGATATATATTTATCTTTTAACCTGATGCCAAGGTTGTAGTTAAGTCAGTGGGAGTATTACATCTGAAATTAGGGAGTATGAGGATATTAGTATTAGAGAACTATCTTTATGCACAGAAGTTAGACGCAATCTAATTCTTGTTTCATTTGTGATTTATAAAAACTGTATAGTTATTTTGTAAAACTGGTTTTATAAAATTGAATAGATATGCGATTGCTTCTGGTGCATTGAAAGATGGTTAATGCACTATAATCACAAACTCTTA